AGATCTGCACCTGCAGCGGCTCCACCCTGGCCCACGCCCCAGGCTTCAAGGCGTACCGCAGCGGCCCTCCTACTCATAGCCGCCTAGCCCCCATGGGCATTGCACTGCCAGCGACGGCTGGGTACGGGCCCAACTCTCCAGCTCCATCCATTTTCAGGGCTAGTTGATTCGGCAGGTGAGTTGTTACACACTCCTTAGCGGATTCCGACTTCCATGGCCACCATCCTGCTGTCCTGATCAACCAACACCTTTTCTGGGCTCTGATGAGCATCGGCATGGGGCGCCTTAACCCGGCGTTCAGTTCATCATGCAGAGCCAGTTCTGCTTACCAAAAGTGGCCCACTGAGCACTTGCATTCCACGGCGCTGCTCCACGCCAGCGAGCCGGCCCCCTTACCCATTGAAAGTTTGAGAATAGGTTGAGATCGTTTCGGCCCCAAGACCTCTAATCATTCCCTTTACTGGGTAAAACTGCCCATTGCCGAGTGCCAGCTATCCTGAGGGAAACTTTGGAAGGAACCAGCTACTAGATGGTTCGATTAGTCTTTCGCCCCTAGACCTGGGTCGGACGACGGATTTGCACGTGAGGACCTCTACGGACCTCCACCAGAGTTTCCTCTGGCTTCCTCCTGCCCAGGCATAGTTCACCATCTTTTGGGTCCTAGCATGGACGCTCACGCTCCACCTCCCCAGCCCCGCAAGGGGGTGGCTGGCGAGATGGGCCGGTGGTGCGCCCGGGGCTGCCAGGTGTGACACGCGTCCCGGGATCCCACCTCAGCTGGTGCCCGCCAGCCCTCACCATGGAGCCAAGGGCTTTCGCCAATGGCCCCTGACTCACGCACGTGATAGACTCCTTGGTCCGTATTTCAAGACAGGTCAGGTGGGTAGCCAACATCGCCGCAGACCCCGGGCGCCCGAGCGCGGCCTGTGAGCCCGGCCCAGCAGTGCCGCGCGGTCAGGGCGCACTGAGTGCAGTCCACCCCGGTTGACAGCGGCTCCGCCGATGGGGGGGGAGGAAGGTGCAGCGGCGGTCCTCTCCTTCGGCCCCAGGATTCAGCCAGACCTGCTGCCTGGGGGCTGTAACACCGGACACCATTCACGCGGCTCTGGGCCACCTGCCGGCCGGAGGCCCTCCCTGCCGACCCAGAGCCGGTCGTGTCCCACTGCCGCGGAGGAAATGCGCCCACCCCCCCCCGGCCAGCCCCCGCAGACAAGTTCACCCGGGGGATGGAGGGGAGGGGGAGGCGAGGATCTGCCAAACCCGCGCCGGCTGACCGCAACTGGCAGGGGTTGAATCCTCCGGGCAGACTGCCCGGGCCCCACCTGTTTACCTCTTAATGTTTTCACGCCCCCTTGAACTCTCTCTTCAAAGTTCTTTTCAACTTTCCCTTACGGTACTTGTTGGCTATCGGTCTCGTGACGGTATTTAGCCTTAGATGTAGTTTACCACCCGCTTTGGGCTGCATTCCCAAGCAACCTGACTCCGAGAAGCCCCAGGCCCCTCACGCCGGGGGGCCGCTACTGGCCTCACACCATCCGTGGGCTGTGGCCTCGATCACAAGGACTTGGGTCCCCCAAGAGTGCCACCGGGAAGGAGGGCTTCTGTACACCACATGTCCTGTGCTCCACCGTGGGGCGGGGATTCGGTGCTGGGATTTTCCCACTTCACTCGCTGTTACTGAGGGAATCCTCGTTAGTTTCTTTTCCTCCACTGACTAATATGCTTAAATTCAGCAGGTCGCCATGTCTGATCTGAGGTCGCAAGCCCAAAGTGGCCCCACACCATCCAGCACCGATGGCCGGCTTCTCCCGCCCAACCCTCCCCTCCCTCCCCCCTGGCGCCCACACGCCAGGGCAAGAGAGAGCCAGAGGGAGAGACGCAGAGACGGAGACCCCATCCCGGAGACTAGAACCGAAAAGGGAGGGCAGCGGAGACGGCCCCGAAGGGGACCGGCCGGGCGGTGCACGACGGCCTCGGCAGGGAGAGAGACGAGAATGATGACGTCCTTATGCCCCAAGACCACCACAGAGGGGACCAACGAAGGAGGAGGGGGTCACAACCCATGTTCCCTGGCGCTCCAGCCTCACGCGCAAACAGCAGCACGGCACGGTACCCACGAGGTACCAGCCCGCAGACAGCCACCCACATGGGAGGGAGGCCAGGGGCGAGGCCCGTGCCTCGCCCCCCCTCCCCCCTCTTGGCCCTCTCTCTCTAGGCCCTTGGTGACGTGTTCGACACCTGCTCTCTCTCTCCCCAGCCACTGCCACCACACCGGGGCGTGGCCCCGGAGAGGTCGAGCTCAGCCCCAGCGGCTCGCTCAGGGAGCGGGGAGCTATGGAGCACTCCCAGAGTCTCCTTTTAGGGGGGTGAAGGCTCTGTGCGGCAACGACGATGACAATGACTGCTACAACGATGCCCACCGGGCCGCAGAGAAAGAATTGAGGCCGCCAAGGGAAACTGCTCCCCTCGCCGCGCCCCTACCTCCTTCCCTCCGGGCACCCGCGGGCCGCTGCTGCCGCCGCCGCTAGCTGCGTTCTTCATCGACGCACAAGCCGAGTGATACACCGCTAAGAGTTGTCTGGCTTTCAGCACCAACCCCGCTCACGCGAAGTGGCCCCTTTGTCTTGCGCCGAGGACGGGCGGGAGCACACCTGGCTTCAACTGTACGAGCACACAAATGGCGGAGAAAAAAAAAGATTACAAATCAAAACTATTACAAAGTATAAAAGCACACTACAACACCCATGGAACGCTCCAAAGGTCAGCGAAAAGGCGGGGGGTCCCGTTTTGAGGGGAGTGGGTCAGTCCGCCCCCGCTGCCTCTCTGCCGAGCCCGGGCGAGTCTTTAAACCGCCGCCCGGTTCGGCGGGCCCTTTCGGTCCTGCAGCGTTTGACGATGCTGAGGGAACTTGGGGACTGCCGTGGCGCGGAAGTCTAGGTACATGGCCCTGGGGTGAGGGAAACGACTTGCATGGCCCTGCAGAGGTGCCTCTCCCGCGGCCCCCTCGGGGGAGCGTCCACCAGGAGCGGCGCACCCGACATCTGCTGCCACCACGGCAGCGTCCTTCTCAGGGCCTGGGGTCTCCCCCAGTAGCCCCGAGGACAACCAGGACTCTGGCCGCCCCGCCGGCAAGGAGACGCGGCCTGACGACCTAGCACCTCTCCAACCCTGCCGAGAGACCGCTGCCCCGACGGGGGGAGGAATGCCACCGTCGCTGCCACCGCACCACCCCGGGGGCAGGTGGCAGGCGCGGGGGGCATGCGGGCCCTGAAGCAAGGCCTGGAATGCCTGGAAGCTCGGCCCTTGGAGTTCCTCCACTGCCCGAGAGCAGGATTTCACCAGCCGGCAAAGGCCCCATCCCGGGTGCAGGTAGGGCCGGTGGAGCTGCCTCCTCAGAGCTCCTAAGGAGGCCCTGCCACCAGGTCCCTCCCCAGTCGCCATCGGCCGCTGACCCGTGCGTCGCTCAATGGGCGAAGGAGCGAGGAAAGGGGCTCGCGCACCGAGAGGAGAGCTGGGCTCGGGAGAACTCAGGCCACGAGTGCTGCCCACGCCAACATGTGCACCAGCGACCTGCGTTCAGTGGCGCCGTCCACGGTGGCGAGAGCCTCGGAGCTGGCCACCCTGCCGCCCTCCAGCGGGGACAGACCAGCAGCAGACTGGCGCAGTGGAGTGGTGGGGAAGCATGCCACGCTTCGAGGCCCGGTCGCGATGCACAGCTTAGCTCGGGGAGAGCCCTGCCAGCACTCACGGTGGCAGGCACGCGCGGCGCTTAGCCATGCCGAGTGGCTCCCCATCCACCCCCGGGGGTGCCACGCGCCTCCATCTCTCTCTGGGCCTGCGGCACATGGCGCACGGTGGCTTGGCCAACAAGCCGCCGCGCCCTAGGGAAGGGCGTGTGGCCCCCGGTTCTGACTGAGGCCGGTGGCCTGGGGCCGAGCGAGCGAAACAGAGCGGGTGTGGGAGGACGCAGTGCGTGGTGGGCCAGATGGCCTGGCAACACAGCAGCCGCCAGCCCCACCGGTAATGATCCTTTCGCAGGTTCACCTATGGAAACCTTGTTATGACTTTTACTTCCTCTAGATAGTCAAGTTTGACCGTCTTCTTGACACTCCGGCAGGGCCGCGGCTGACCCCGCCGGGGCCGATCCGAGGACCTCACTAAAGCATCCAATAGGTAGTAGCGACGGGCGGAGTGTACAAAGGGCAGGAACTTAATCAACTCAAGCTTATGACCCGCACTTACTGGGAATTCCTCGTTCACGGGGAAGAATTACAATCCCCATCACGAATGGGGTTCAACAGGCTACCTGCGCCTGCCGGCACGTTTCTCAGGCTGCCTCTCTGGAATCGAACCCTGATTCCCCGTCACCCGTGGTCACCATGGTAGGCACAGACAGTACCATCAAAAGTTGATAGGGCAGACATTCGAAAGGGTCGTAGCCGCCGCTGGGGTGTGCGATCAGCTTGAGGTTATCTAGAGTCACCAAAGCTGCTGGGTGGGCCCGGGTTGGTTTTGGTCTGATAAATGCACGCGTCCCCAGAGGTTCGCATGTATTAGCTCTAGAATTACCACAGTTATCCAAGGAGCGGGAGAGGAGCGACCAAAAGAACCATAACTGATTTAATGAGCCATTCGCAGTTTCACTGTACCGCCCATGTGTACTTAGACATACATGGCTTAAGCTTGGAGACAAGCATATGCCACTGGCAGGATCAACCAGGTAGCCGCCTGTCATGGATTGACCCTGGCACAGTGCCAGTGCCCCCATGAAAGGTATATTTCCAAAATGGTTACTGTGAGATTTGACCCGGAAACAGAACAAAGCAGGTTCCAACTTGGGAATGGAGGGAAAAAAACCCCAACACTTTATTAATCTACAACATAGACACAAAAGGGAAAAAACCCACACACAACAATCCACAATGGAACACCTCCAAAACACTCCTCCTGCCCCCACCCCTCTAACACTCAAATCCCTTCTAACACTCAATTCTCAGTCC